TAATAATAATAATAATAATAATAATAATAATAATAATAATAATAATATTAATAATAATAATTAAAATAATAATATTTAATACAAAATAAAATTTAAATGGCCAATTAAACGCGCGCGTTTCAAAAAAATAAAATCAGCTTTTGTATCGAGATCGGAGTATCAATATAATGCGTTTATAAATGTATATACCTCTATACATAACTATACATATGTTAGAGAGGAACTATATACTCAAATTACGTACGATCTTTTTATTTTTTCTCCCAGAAGAATACCGTTTTGTTGCATTCTCATCCCGAAGGATTTCGCTTTACTATTTTGGGTTTTTGAACACAAACAGAAAACAAAAAGAAAACTCATGAATATTTAATATGCAAGATTACGCCGAGAAAAATTCGTGGGAATTGACTTATAAACTGAATAACATAAACTTCACAACATGAGATACACACGTTTTTAATTTAATAATAATAAAAAAAAAATGGTAAGCAAAACAAATATACGTAGGAACAAAAAAAAAAAAAAAATTATAATGTTCATTAGTCATTACACGATAATATGATAATAGTTTAAAAATGTCATTCTTACACGATAATGTTAAGTACAAGCACTATCGTCATCAATCATCCAAAATATTTGGCGACTGCACATTAAAAATAAAATAAAAATTCATGAGGGTATATTATATTTTTGATATAATAATATGATAAACTCAAAAAATAAAAGTAAAACCCTGCGACATATATAAAAAAATAACTAATTGTAAGTACATTGATTATTATTAATATTTTGTTTCGAGATACACATTTATTCATATATTCATTCATATATGTTTCATTTAGCCTTCAAAGATTTTTATAGAAAATGGAATATTGTGACAAATAGGGATTTGCATAATACTAATATATATGTTTGAAATTCTCGAAAAGACTGCAAAACAAAATATATGAATAAAAAATAACGCTCATAGCACGCACAGTAAAAAAAAAAAATCCTTAATAAATAAATACTTAAAAATAACGTTCATTAAAAATGGATACACATCAAATTTAATATAATAATAATTATAATATAGTATTGTAATAATAATAGTAATAATAGGATTACCTATAGTAGTAATAGTAGTTGTTGTAGTAGTATAAAATACTACGATATAATATTATTATAATTACACTTATAAATGCCAGAAAAACAGTCCTTTCTCGAATTGTTTCATAAATTATTAAATTGGTTTTTTATTTTTCAAATTTTCAGTCGTAAAATAACCGTTGTACACCACTTTGTACTTGTATAATATAACATTCGTTCTTTTTCAAGTCTGTTTCTAAACAGCCGAGTCTTTGCCGACGAATCGCGTTTGCGACACAGATCGTTTCACGTCGTACTCCACTTCGGTGTCCTTTTTCAGCCTGTGAATAAAACAAAACACGATAAATCATTAGTGCGATCCCGAGGACCCAACGGAAATCACCGAATACATAATACATATTATATATGTTATGTATTCATGTATTCAGTGTTATTATATAGTAATGGTTTTTTTTTTAAATTTTTTTTTTTACATTTCGGTGGGTTCGATGCACATGTTGTTGCTCTGGTAGGTGTTACCGTTGGTCAACAGTTCTTTGCCTTCACTAAAAAAAAAAAAAAAATACGTACACATATTCAATATATTTATAGATGTACGGGCAAAAACAATTCAATGTTACGGAGAAGTTTGTACAGTATAATATATGCGTTTGTGTTTAAATATAAAAAAACAAAAACAAATTTCTTTTATTTTTGTTTTTATAAATTGCAAAAGCGGGAAAAATTAATGGAAAGCGAGTTAGACACAGAAATTGGTTTATGTTCTAAAATAGCTTAAAAGCTTATAGTGTTATTTAGCGCATGTGTACATATATTGGTATACTCGTTATGTACGGACGCGCGACCTTTTAGGACCGCGCGTCCGGTGTTATTGTTAACTAAAGCCGTTCATCGCGTTAAGTATACAATATTATTATATGATAACTATATAATAACATACATACGTATAATATGTATTGTGTGTAGTAGCTGTTATATAGATCTACGCGTATTCGCAGCAGCCGACCAAATAATATTATAATATAATATATTTTGTTGTTATTACAATACACCTCTTTCAACACTGCAGCAGCACTATAGCGCACACTGTTTATAATAACTGTTTTCTTTTTTTTCCCTTCGTTTTGTTAATAACCGTGTGAATAATATTATTATGTCTTTACAAAACCAAAGGAAGAAAAAAGAAATAAACAAACAAGAACCGCCGCTCACACATACGCACACAAAAGAAGAAATTATACGTACAACGAAGAAAAAATTTAAAAAAAAAAAAAAAAAGGCGCACACACAATAAAAAAACAGGAGAATGTAAATATATGTGTAAAGACAGTGAAAATAATATTATAGAATAGAATACAGTATTACAGTAAATAAAATACAAGCGACCAAACCAATCAAATAATAAAAAAAAATAAATATAATAATTAGAGACAACACGTTTTCTTACAACACAAAGTTCATATCTGGCAAGGGGACTTTCTCTACGTCGGAAGTGTAAGAAGAACCGTTTCCGTTACTGGACGATTCGCCCGTGCTGTTGTTGCAATACGGCAACGGAAAGCGCCAACCATACAAACTGAAAACGGCCCTCGATTTGAATAAAAAATAATAATAACACAACAAAACAGAAAATAATCTCTCTGTTTAATATAAATACTTGGAGCGATATCCAGTGTTGCTGAGTAACAAGCTACATAATTAATTTTATGTTTAAAAGTACAAGTCTTAAAAAGGGAATGTCTGTTTTATCGCCTGTCTTATTACTCAGAATAAAGGTGGGGGTAAAATATTATGATTAGTATTTATTTTTTATTTACTTTTTTCCCATTTTTCCATTAAATTAATTTAGTATTTGGTTGCACTGTGACGAAACGAAGTATTTGAAATTTAAATACATTTATGAATAAAATAGTTACTAAATTAAAATTATTTGTATATGAAAACATTTTATCATAAATTACGAACTTTTATATGTCCACGTAATTTTTATTTTCTTTACGAAAAGAGTAAAACGAAAGAAATGTTTTGCTTTAGAAATTTGAATAAAAATTAATGTCTATGGAAATTTCGGCTAAAATATAATTATAAAATAACAATACGAGTAAACGTAGTCTAGATTTTTTTTTTTTTAAACTAATGATATAGCAACACTGGAAGGCGATCACAATTTAACCACAGATTAATATAACAAAATATAAATAAAAATACTACATTATTATTATTTTTTTTTCCGTTTCCTTAAAAACGCACGTATACTTACACAAACATGACTTAACATTGTGGTCTATAAATTCACATACAAGCAACAATAAAGGACATTTGTGTAGTGTGTTGTATGAACTTAAAATCAATAGTAACACACACACACACACACACACACACACGTCGTCACGTGTATAACATAATAGTTTTATACTTAAAATCAATTTCCCGGGTGCGGATGACCACCACCTTGAACAATACTACAACACTGTAGTGATAGTGTCGTTCTGCGAAATTTATAAAAGGTCTAATACAAAAATAACAACACTTGAGAGAACGGGATTGGTCGAAGTTTTTGCGTTAATTTAAAAGCTACGTTGTGTAATAAACTTTTATGTTTTTTTTATCCCTTTTGTTTTTTTTACCCTGTAACAAGTGTCCATACGCCCACTTCGGTTATATTACAATAATAATAGTAATTTTGTTCACCATAACGGCGACGATCGTTTTTCCATAAATAAAAAAATTAAAATATAAATAAAATATGATTTTTATACATTACACCGGGCATTGATTTATTAGCAATAAAATTGTAATGACGTTTACACGGCCCCAGTACAATAACATGTTAAATTATTATAAAATATTATTAAATAGAAACGCGAAGAAAAAAAAAAAAAACAACAATGATCATATGAATAGAGTTAGGTTGACATACAAATGAAAATTATAACATGGATATGAATGTAAAATGATACAGAGACAGTAAAATAATCTTAAAACGTTCACGTTTCGCCGTAATATTATAACAGAACTTAATATACGTTCGTGTCATTAATAATAATTGAAAACAATGTATATGTGTGTTTGTATATGCGTGTATATGTATTCGTGTATTATAATATTATTATGATGTGTGCGAGAGTACCTATATCAAACGTTCTTGAATGCTGAAAAAAGGATTATATCCTTATTACGTGTATGTGTCCATTCAAGGTGTACACCGCACGTTATTATTATGTATGCAGGGGGGTGGTCTTGTTTGATATAGCCACGAGCACGACTCATTGAATACGTGTATCCGATGCGAACAAAATGCTTTCGACGTATGTAAATACTTCACTCACTACCTGCAGTGCGCATATATGTGTATTAAAATTAAACGGTACAAAAAACACCCTTTTTCCCCTTGCTCCCGTTCACCCCACCGACACTGCGCAATGTCGTATTTCATCGCATGCACGCGGAAGGACAACAACAGCAGGCGGTGAATACACGTCATCGTTCAAAATGCGTGTGCACGCAAACAACTTTTACCATCATACGCACACATTTGTACGGACGTATCTGACGACATTACGATCGGATCTTACGGGGTGAAAAATATTAAAATCGATGTCACCGCACCAAACAATTTTTTGAATAATCAAGCGACACGCAATATCATACAACGGATTCAAAAGAAAGCGAAAACAATCGTATTGATTTTAACAGTTTATGCGATAAAAACTCTAGAGATAAATGCTTATTGGTATATCATCATCCCTGTTCTTTATATAATTATATAATACATAGGGAAGGAAAAGTTTTCGTTATTTCCGAACCGTGATCACGCCGTTACCGCACGTACGTTGTGCCGAGCGCTAAAATTAATTTCAATACATCGTGACAAAGTTCTCATTACTGTTCTTCATCATAATACGTGCACACACGTTATAGTTGATCCACGGTTTCGACAACTATTATACCATCATTACTCGTTAACGTTCAAACGATTACAATTGTTACATATTCACTAATCATCCTAAGACCGAAGTAATCGATAACATTGTTGGACTAAAATAGTTAAGTTTCAGTATATGGCAAGCTTTTGCGGAATGCGATTGTATGGAAAAGCGATTTTCAAACCGGGTACCACAAACTTATAAAAAAATTACACAATGAGCAAAAACTTGAAATAAAAATTTTCAACACGTTATTTTAAAGGCTGTGAAAATGTTTTGAATATAACAGAGTGATGTGTTTAAAAAACAAATTTATAGTCCATTGGTATAATATATATTTTATGAAGAACTATCAAACCGTACACTGTATATATTCCATTGTATTAGGGGGAAGGATAACTATTAAGTAAATATTGTGTAATAGGCAACCAAACATTCGTCGCAACATAAACACAATCTCACGTGCTGTAGGCGTGATGTGCGATGGATGCCTGTTGTACGATATTTGCTGACTTGGCTGTACCGCCTCACCCTGCGCACGGGTAGATGATTTATAGATGGTATAACGCAGTGCGGTTTTTATTAAGAAATTAACTCTATACGCATATAACCCTTATTGCAACCACCACTCTCCCCCCACCATTCGATAGCCATCCGCATTTTGTTCGCGAAATCGTTTTGAACGCATTATTATTATTATTAGGCGATTGCGTGTTTTGTTCGGGACATAAAATACGCGATGAACAGGTATTTACGTGTGAACTGTGCATTTATAATATACGACCCACGTGAATGTATAATGTGTTGTTTTACTTTTAGAAAGCCCGGCAGCTTTCTACACGAGAACTCTATGTATACACATGTATACGTAGTACAACGCGGCGTTATAACGTTTATGATTATTATTATTTTGCTGTCTATGATTAATTTGATGGAGATGGTGATGATGCACACGCACACACACGCACACACACACACACATTTGTCTAGACATACATATATTATGAGCATTCGTGTCATTGTTTTTACCCAGCAATGTGTTTGTACCGCATGTTTGTTATGGAAAAAAGAACCAACGAAAATAATCGTACATAAATACGAATCTTACCTTCCGAGCTTGGCGTCTTCTTCCCTTTTTTTCTTTCGGCAACACATCCCGAACAGTATGTACAGAATACCTGTATACATCGGGGTTAAAATTACCTATGTATTATCGACAAGTACAGTACATTACAGCTATATGAGTGTCCGAGGGGTGGGAGACATTTCGGATATCCGGATTTTTTAATTTTTTTTTACACGATTTCTCAACGAAATTGTTCATACAAGGTACTATCAAGACTATTTGTTGTAGACACCCGTCCATTCGGATATCCGAGAGGTTATCGTCAGCACTAGCATAGCTATACAATATGGAGTACCATGCAATCGCGATAACCCGAAACGAAGCGAATCTGGAGTGCGGTCAGTAACTTCGACCGCATTTCGTGTTACCGTTCGTACGCCTCATCGATCCCATCAGAGTTAACGCGACCGTAGCGGTTAATAATAAGTTATCAATAATATGTTATCACGCGGCAGGGTCCTATCTAGTATAGAAATCGTCAACGGTGTTTTACCGATGCGGAGGCGACAATATAGTTATAATCCTTTCTCTTTATCTTATCATCTAGTCCGGATTTCGAAGTTGAAACGTCACTTCGGCGTTCGGCTCTTTTCACGGTCGAAAACTGCTATATATTATGTTTAAAGGACTGCAGGAAAATGAAAAAAGTATCGTACAAGTGAAATCATCGAATCGTTGATACAACCCTGTGCGCGAGCGTGCACATTTCCGATGCGATCACGGTAAATTATGCACACCGGATAGAGCTGTGGTAGTAAACCGTTTTCGGTACGTTAAACATAGAATTTGGCCATTTCGGGCCTCAAGTTTCCGTTACACGGGTCGGCGAAATAGGGGCAGCGATCGCTGTGCATATCGCGATTACATTCTATAGCTCTGGGAGAACGTCGAGTTAACGGACTTACCGGTGTTGTTGGCGAAGTAACACGACACGTCGATGACGACCAATATCGTAAACAGCACAGCCAGTACGATGCTGAGGATGACAGTCGAGCTGAGGTGGTGTTGGTGCTGCGGCTGTAGCGGTATGTCCACACCTGGAAATACAACGACGGACACATGTGAATAACACAAAAATATCGGAACTCGCGAGCAAACCCGCGGGTCGGTGGCCGTGGTCATATTATATTAGTGTATTATATACTATCATCACCGCAGTGGCGTTCTCGGTATCTCCGAATGTTGGGGATGAAGGGTTAAAATTAATTGTAATTCGTCCACTTAAATAATAATATGATGTTAATACTAATATCTATATTATAGAATGCCTCGTACTTAGAAGTTTTTTTTTAGTATAGTTAGTACAAGCGCGGTTGATGCATCGATTTCATTTGGTTTTTGAACGAAGACATATAAGAACGGTACTCCGAATCGATTATTTTTTCCCTTAAAAAATGCTATAGTGGTGAGGGGGGTCTACCCTCATGAGAACGCCTATGCGTGACAGTAGGACTACAGTATATATTACAAAGGGGTGGGCCATAATATTTCCCGTATTTCCGTACATAATATGGCTCGACCCGTTTGTATACGATCGAGTAATAGTGTTATAATATTAGTATTAATAGTGCAATGCAGTAAAACGACCGTTTATAAAGACGTCGAAGAAATACACCGTGTTGTCTTATCCGACCATTCCTCCCCCCATATATGTAGAGTATATCATAATCGTTAGAACCTATCTCGGTAAGGATCACAGTACACGTCATATTATTGACAGTACAACAAGTCTCGAAAAATAATTGACACCATGTCGTTATAAACGGTTTTTACAGCGCGAGTTTACCATGCGCGCCGGTGGCCTCCGTTTGGTGATGAAACAATATTCGCTCCGCGTTGCGATATATAGTGCGAAATATAAAGATGCTAATACGCTCAGCAGTTGGTTTGTACTGTGTAATATACATATATTTAGTGTAGGGGCGTATAAACGCGGCATGTCGTGCCGGCAGAGGATAGGTATAATTAGGATTGTATTAATAGTTATTATTATGCGCATAATATCGTACGCGATGATGGTTAGTCGCAAATTACAACCAGTTACTTATCTATACACTGCGATGTGTATCATAATGATAATGTTGCGTCGAATATAAAATCGTTGTCGAAGAGACACGTTAAGAAAAAAAAAAAAAAACTGACGATGACGAGATCACGTTTTACTTCGTTTCTTCGACGCGTTTCGTCGTGTGATTGGTGTCGTACACAGGTAGTACAACAATACCTGACTATAAAATATTTTTGTACCAAAAAAAAAAAAAAAAAAAACACGAACGCCATACAATAATAACGATAATAATATACGTGAGTACACCAGCAGAACGATACCCCGACACGTTTTCTGCGATTAGTCCGTAATTGCTACGGATACACACGTGGGTAGTACGTAAATTATTATCGTGTCGTTAATTCGTATGACGGGGGAAAAAAATCGGAAAGAAAGAAAAACACAAGTAGCACTACTGGGACATCACACCACACGGCATGCGGTGTATGAGGAGCTAGAAGAACGGCAAACACACAGGCAGAGACGAGAAGCATTACACAGTGTGCGGAGAAGCCAAGGAAATATAGCGGGTACGGACGTAGATCAGTGCAGGCGTTATTATACACGTTAAAATATAAAGGGTTGTTATTACAAGTTAGTAGCAAGCCACCTTCGAGGGGAACGAGTCACGGGTGTAATAATATTATCATTATTATAACGATAAGCATGACGGCAAACGATGATTACGATTATATAAGGTCCGCGGCGGTTTTCTTCGGGGCACGGATATAACAAACCTCGCGGCGGAAAATGACCCCCGCCGAGAGTACTATCGTGCCCGGTCGACGGTGAGGTGAATATAGGGGTTAAAAAAAAAAAAACCACATGCACTGCATCAAATTCGTAAACACGTCATGTTCTTACCTCTTCGGACACGTCATACTATTATTATAATTACTATTATTTTAGCACGCCGCTCTTATACGCACGTGTTCGTAATAAAACAGAGTACCAATTGTACAGAGTACTCAAATACCCAGGGCCTAAAATTTTTGTGTATTTACAGCGAGGCGCACTTCATACTCGGTGCAAAGAGCAAAGTATGTACCCCACAAAATTTGAAAGTGTGTAATAAAAAATCTTATTCGTCGCCTCGTTGAAGACACAAACGAACAACGTAGAATTGGTTTGAGAAAATCGCCGAAAACAATTATATCGTTTCAATGACAAGGTTGAATCGACTCTCAAAAGGTTGGTCGAAAGGCTCATTTTTATCAACAAAATACACAGACATTTTTTTTAAACATAGTCGTCACACAAATAAATTGAAAATTTTAGGCCCCGTCACACAAACAGCGAACACATATTTTATATTAAAAAAAAATATTGTTTATTATTGTCTTATTACATTATACTTTTATTATTATTATTTATATATTTCTAAATACATTTACAACAAAATATCAATATTTGGGTTTACTTATATAATGAGACTATATATAAAATAATTAATATGAGTTTGCTTTTTTTTTTTTTACACTTTTTTATAATATTTATCGTATTTAATAATGCTACATTAATAAATCAGTGATGATAAATTACAATAATAATAATTATATCTAATTAGTTCATCCTAAACAGGCAACTTAAAAAGTGAATTAAAATATAGTTTTACAACACATTTTATTTGATTAAAATAATAATAATAATAAAATGAAATAGTTTAATAATAAACGAATAAAATAATTGGTCCCTTGATCTATAGATGTGATGGTATACTAATAATTGTTAGACGTGTGTGTGATGTTAAAATGATGAGCATAATACACGAATACGCAATGGTAATTATTGGTGTATATGCTATTTACCTTAGGTCAGAAAACAGTTTGATACAAGGGATCCAGTAGAGAGGCACAAAAAAATAGTATAAAGCCAATAGGGATTTTTAATAAAAATAAATATGTAAATAAGTGATGTTTGTACTCAAAAGCAAATAATATTAATTCATTTAATTTCATAATCTATTAAAAAGTTTATTATAAACTATAGTAAAAATAATACTTTATAGTAAGTAATATCGTTGACCAAATGGTATATTCAAAACAGTCAAATAATAATTAAAACTTAAAATTTTGATTAAAAAAATTAAATCTTACTCGTTGTGTACTTACTCGGAGGTATAAAATCTAAGAGAGAGGTAACTCGTTTATTAAAAAAAAAAAAAATGTAAATCATTTTGAAAATAAAGAGAGAAAGTAAAACCTAATCTACTTAAGACGAAAATGTGAGAGATTCATAGTTTTCACATAATATTTAAATAATTTTATCACAATATTTAGACAAGTACAAGAAGGTTAAGCTCTAACACCTTACCATGCACGTACACAGAAAAATAAACTATTATCAAATACAAATATATATATCAAGACATATACACATAAATATATATGTATAAACAATAAAAACTAAAAAATGTATTAATGAAATTTAATAGAAGTCATAAAAATATATTTTAATCGATTTTCAGTGATTAATATCTCCGGTGGGAAATGGCAATTTCAGAGTAAAATACATCGTAAAAAGGTAAAAAAAAAAAAAAAAATCAAAAAATCGTACAAAATGAAAAGGGAAACATTTATAAGTAAGTCGGGAATAAAGTCATTAATAATAATAAGATATATAAGTAATAATAAAATTAAAAACAAGTGTTTTTAGCGTAACCACCAACGATCGCCACCGAAGGCGGCCGTTAAACTCAGTACCGACAAGGCGGTGATATAGTCGCATATGGCCAATCGGTTAACGTTCATCGCCGCATTGATGCCGGCCACTTTTGGGGTTTGTTCTGTAAATCATAACACATATAACACACTTGGGTATTACGCTCGCAAACATAAAAAAAATAAAAAAAATTATAATAATAGTGATAAAAAAAAAGGAGGGTGAAACTTGTAGAGGACAGTGGCTAACGGAAAGAGGAAAAACATCTCGTTTGACGTTACAGAGGACTGTGCGAGTACAATATAGGAAGCGCGTGAAAAAAATAAAAATAAAAATATTGTATATTGCGTAGACGTAATCTCGACCACCCCACGCAAAAAGCAAAACGTTCAACAGGACTTATACACTCACATACGCACACACACTCACACATAAATCTTGCAGGTATATATTTTATACATATATAAATATTTATTACACACGCGACTCTATGCGACAATGGCACGGGCCGGAAGAAATAAACCACCTCATTTCGTCTGCAAACGAAAGTTTTTTTTTACATTTTAATTATTTTTTTTCGCTAAAAATTGTATAAACACACACACACTATTTATATAATGGCGTGGATGTTAATCTAAAACTTGAGATAAGTAAGTACCGCTATTATTTTTTTCCCGGATAGGACCTTATGGTATTTTCATTTGGTACCAAACATATCATATAATATAATATATACGATCATATAATCGTGGTCTGACGTTCTCAATTCTCACACATTAATAAACTAACTATCGTGATAATAAACTTAAACAAAAGTTGTACAGTTCGTATACACCACTTAGTACCAATTATCGTTTACCACGGCAATACACCTAAATTATCTAAATTTCCAATATTTACATACAGGTATCGACGTCACTATTTACATATATATATATATATATTATCTACAATGTGTGCGAAAGTACGACGACGCCATCCGATATGCTCGGGATGAGCTATACTACACCGATGACGTGGTTGTTTTATAAACACCGACACTTATAACTTGTTTATTAATTTATTAGATTTTTGCTTGTTACATTTTAGGTGTTTTATCCTAACACGAAACAGAGCGCGGTATAAACTTGTATCGTCTCATAGTATTCTGTGTATAGTGACGTTTTCGTACTTGTGATGTGACATATTGTATTCAGATTCGCCGAAAATCCGGATTTGGCCTTCAGGTTACAATATCCGGATTTTAGATTTTTAGGGTTTCAAATGTTAGATTTCAATATTGACAGAATTTAGAATAAAATTTTAAAATGATTTATAAATATAACCTTTGAAATAAACGTGATGTTACTACGACTATAAAAGCTATGCACAAAATCCGCAGAGACAATAAATTAATTTCAAATTTTTGAACACTGAAAAATCAGTTATATTTCCGATCACTATTTCTCCGTGTACTTACTGGTATGTTTGAACCCTACAGACAGGGCTGGCCTGAAGATGAATATCAAGAGGGGGGTGAATAATATAAAAAATGCAGACTAAAATTTTTTTATTCAATGTATGTAGTATAATTAACTATATGTAGTCGTATTTTTACTTTTTAACATGTATTTATGTGTCAGTGTCGCACGTTCTTAAAATTGACAGTTTATTTAAATATATATAATAATATTTTATATTGTATAATAAGAAGTTATATATATAGTTATATAAAGTTATATAAAATTCCTTGGGACACGTAAAAGATTTTCAAAACCTTGACTGAAAAAATTTGGCACAACGCGAAAAACCCCGTGTAATAGAGTGTAGAATATAAATTGGATCGTGGCCGAGATTCAGAAACGATTAACCAAAGAGCAAATTATCGTATTCAGAATAGCGTATAACGAGCGATATATATACTCGGATATTAACTAAAAGCGATGTTATAATATGAAATGGTCCAAGGAACATATAACGAAATACATTACAATAACGACACCAACGGCAATAATAATTGTTGTAGTAATGTTGGCCGCTAAATATTTGTCGCGTGCAACAACTGTATACCTCGGTTTATTATGAACTCAATCCCGGAAACTATGTAACAAACTATTTCGATGAGCACACTGACACCCCATTCTCTCCAGCGGAATGACATACATCATGCTCGTAAAAGGGTTAGGATCTAACGCGAAACAAAATTCTAGTAGATAAATGGCATAATGTGTGTGTATATACTATAAAATATGCATATTATTCGTACAATCACCGGGTGGGATTTCATTTCTACCATCCCCCACCCCTTCGATAGTAAACCAATTTTAATATTTCCTTTTGCCCGAAAAAAATGTCGGGTTTTTTTTTTTTTTTTGTTGCGCTTTTTACGCGACTAGCGCCGCAACCGGAGTGTTGTTCTGCAACGCTGCGATATTAATAAAAAAAAAAAACAATACAAAATAATGTATAAACGTCACCACCGTACACATTACCGGTGCAGTTGTCGGTCACTTTGTTCTCTGGCGGCGCAAGGGGAGCGAAATTTTTGTTCCGGTATTTGTCAACAATTTGAATAATTTAATCATTTTCCGAATCGCGGGGACTGAATGTCGTACGTTTATCGTTACTAGATGGCAAACATAATGAAGCCTTGTGAGAGAGCAGTGCAAACTTGAAAAATAAATATTGTTAAAACTGGATACATTATGCGTGTTTAGGTACACTTTTTCGCATACACACGGTAACAACGGTGGTGGTGGCGGCGGACGTCGAAAGCAATTTTCATAGTAGCTTTTAAAATTCGAGTAAATAAACACAATACAAAAGGGACCTGGGGCTATGACGGTTTTCCTTTGACTAGGTAACTTAAAAGAAATTTTAAACTGACGCACGCGCAACGTATTATAATGTAATGTAAAAAAAAAAAAGAAGGAAAAAAAGTGTAACACACCTCAACGGAAAGAGGCGAACCGTTGAATGGTGGAGAGGTTTAGCAGCGAGAAACTCGTACGAACTATATGTAAAACTTACACTCATAATATTATGTATAGTGTCAAGGGAAGCCATGATTCGGAGAGACGATGACATTGTCTCGAGAAGCACAAAAAAAAGAAAAAAAAAGAAAAGTCAGGTACATTTTCTGCCGGAGACCTTTGGAAAAAAAATTAGAGCTAGTTGTTGCGGCAGAGTGGTAGGCAATAAAAATATACGCATACCATACACTCGATGCTCTCAACACTTTCCCGGCATGCATCGTCGGTTTTAAAAAACAAGGTTTTGGTCGAGAAATTCACTAAAGGCGTATACATATACATGCACACTCTTCCCTAGTAGCTATTTTATTACACATTTTCTTTATCGTCTAAAGAACGACTAGCGGACGCAGCGGTGTAGAACGTGAACGTTATAAGGTACGTTTCGAAATTTAACTAATGACGACAAAAGGTTTTACCATAAACTTTTACTCATTTACGTGTCTGTATTTTCATCACTGTTATTATAACGTTTATTTTATTTTTTCTCCATCACTCTTATCTTAAACATATTTAAACCGAGGGTACTGCAAGTTTGTCGTTCAACACATACGTCATGTCTACAAACAAATAGGTCCTATTATGAAAAAAAGGCATTATTAATTCGAAGGATTTACGCGGTCAATATAAACATAAATTAAATATAAATTTAACATAAACATAACATTAATGTAATTTCGTATGGGTATGGGGTACATCGATAAGGCGTTTGCACTACTTTAAAAGAAATACGTCGATTGTTATAAATGAAAAACTTAACTATACCGTAAATACACGTAGCAATATATTAATAACATAAATATTTATTATGTATAAAATATAAATACAGTAAAAAAAAAAAAGAAAAAAGTAATATTATTTAAATAAACCCAATACATGCAGTTAGAAATAGCGGACATCCCGTTTGCCAAAGAGAATAAATCGTTTGAAGCTCTACCAATAAAAACAGCACAAATAATACAAATAATTAAAAAAAAAAAAAAATTAAAATTAAAAACAGCACACAAATTTCACACACATTTCTTTTAATTAAGTACCACCTAGATTACAATCACCAATCACAGAATGAAATGTTTAAACCTTTTACTCAAACATATATATGTACGCTGTATTGTATTGTAATTCGTAATGCGTTTTGCGGAGATGGCGTACGAGAATTACAAAGAGTACGACATATACTTATGTACGTATGTTTGTGTTTACATTGTTGTGTTGCAACTTTATTTTTTTTTTTTTTTAGTGACGTAGAGGTAAACTTCGTTAATTAGGAATAGTAAACAATACCAAACTGTAGCATAGTAGAGATGCTTGGAGTACAGTATATAACTATGTAAGACTATATTACACTAATTAGTTTTTACAACGTTTTCAAAAACTATAGAGACTGTGAAAAATAAGAGTTGGATTAAAGTTTTGACAAATTTTAAATTGTCCGTGAAACGTTTCTAATTGTTACGATCGAATAACTAATTAATTTAATTAGTATCATATTTAAGTCTTTTTTAAGTCTTTTTAAGTATTTAAACCGCTCAGTTGGAAATTTTTATCGGCGTGATTGAGTCGATAAATAAATAAATATATAATTTATAAACGAAAATGTTTTAATTATATTTAAACACCGTGCCAACTATTTGTTTCGTAAACATCATATAGGTTAACCTATACTTTTGAAAACTATGTACTTACCAGCTGCAGTTTTAAAGACAAGTTCCGATGGTACACTGTATCCGATTTCGTTGTGGGCTCTGACTTCTACTTTGTAAAACGTGTTGGCGTTTAGATTGTTCATCAGGAATGCCGTCCTGTCCTGGAATCTGAGTTGCTCGTTTTTACACGAGTCCCTCCTAGTCGTCCACATTGTGTTTATTTTATCGATCTGAAACGAACCGGTATTCGATCACACATATGTCATATGATAGAATACGAGAGAGAGAGAGAGAGTATTAGCGAAATCAGCCATCGGGGGTGGTAAGGCGCCGGACAAGAAAAAATAAAAAGAACAAAATCACTTACCACGCAATAATTTACGTTGTAGTGGTCAATGGGCTCTCCGTTGTCGGCAGGTATTTTCCAGTTCACTTCGTAGCTGTTTCCGTACGGTGAGTTGATGTAGTCTTCCGTGTACACGTCCTTGTTCACTAATATTTTCGGTTCCTCGGGCGCAGATCTCTTGGGCATGGTGCGCTGTTCCAAGGGTCCCCATTCGCTGGTCCCCACGTCGTTGATGGCGGCGAACCGAAACTGATAGGTTCTGTGCGCTTCTAGATTTTCCAGTATGTAAGGCGTATCTGAAGTGATCAGTTAGTGAGTAGTTATTACGACGTTGTGCACGACGCGTACGTGCGGTGAATGCGAGATAAAAATTATAAATTAGTAACACACTTACCCACTGGCCACGATTTGTTACGGGCTTCTTCCCATGTCTGCGACATCTCCTTGTATTGGACAGCGTACGCTTTGATTCTAATACCTCCCGTGTCAGTCGGGCCCACGAAACTGAACGAAATAGTCGTGGCTGCAACATGTGACGAAAACAACGTTATTGGTGACGAATAATGGCAAAAAAATAAAAATGAAAAATAGCATTTTAAGTATGCAGGATTGGTTTGACCGGATGATATTACGTTTGAAAGTAATTCGACGGTACCACGTTGAACTCGAAAAACGCTTTTGAGTGGAACTCGGTTGTTCACCGTACACCATTACGTTACGTAATTAAAATCCGAAACATTAGCCGGATATGGTCAAGATACGGTAAAAATAATGTCGTGTTGAAATTTCTATTCGCGTGACGCAAAATAATTGTACAGATCAGAATACCAAAAGGTTAAGGGAACTAATGAGAACGTGGCAAATGTGTCACGCTTTACACACGACGTTTCAAGTGGACATTTCAGACCGGAAAACATTTGAACTCGAATAGATATCGAATATCGTTGAAAAATCAAAACGAAAAAAACTACGAAAATTTTTGGTATCTTACCGGTCACGACGTCGAATTTGGCTTGGGATACTTTGGACGGTCTGTGCGCTTCTCGCAACGTGATGAGCGCGCTGTTCTCGCCGTGTATGTTCTTGGCCAGACACTTGTACACGCCATAGTATCGCGGATCGACCGGCGTCACCAGCAGGTTGCTGTACGGGCCCTTACCGAACTTCTGCACGTTCATATCGTCTTCGATCAGACGGTTGTTCAGCAGCCACGAGATGGACGCGTTGGGCAGCGACTCGGACACGCACGACAAGTTCACTGGCATCCTGTTCCACGTCCACATTTCTTTGACCATGTTGCTGGGAAACTCGGGCGGGAATTCCACGGTCAGATGTCCGTTTTTCGAAGCTTCGCCGCCCTGCGCAGACGAAACGCGAAAACGGTTAGGAGGAAAAACATAAACACTTAAGTGCCCGGTATGAAAAATAATATATAGGGATACGCGTGCAATTAAAACGAAAGAAATAAAATTCCGTTTTAGACGATCTACCCGTAGCATCTAGCGGAAGCCAGACACAACTAGTCCGTCGACGTATTACCTTGATTCCGTACAATAATTTCATTTTTCAAATCGATTGTAAAATGCTTAGTAAAAAATACATAATCTGTTTCGTTCCGTTTTATTGACGATCGGTAAATTATGTTTAACATGGTGATTTTTTGTTTTTCAAACATTTTAGTAATACAATTAGGGAATAATATAATTAAATAAATTGGCCTCGTTCGTGTTTTATTTTCACCTTCCGGTTGGCAATAGTAATTTACTTCGGTACACAACGGAACCCCAACGTCTCCGTCCGAAACAGGTGTCGCACGATGTAGCCGATGCGTCCGTCTCGAGACACGGTTTACTAATAAAATGTAAACGAATTGTACACGCGTAACGACGCTACACGTGCGCTAATATTTCTCCGGGCAGCGCACAAAGCTCTTAGTTTCGATTAGCAGCGCGTTGGCGTTTTAATAATTGATAAGATGGCGTGGCCAACAATATTCGAAATACTGTTCGCGCACACCTTTGTATACAACATATACGTATACACGTGCGTTTACCTTGTTCGATGCGATGCACGTGTACAGTCCGTCGTCGGTGCGGTTCAGGTGTTTAATCACAAGAGTGGCCGTCGCCTGGTCCCTCGCCGTGTCGTGTTCCACGCTAATGCGATAGTCGTTGATTCCTGATTTTATGACAACGTTCGTGCCCACTCTCCTGCAATTAGTTAGAATTTAGTGTTACGATCACGATTATGGTTAAATATTGTAGTCGATACGCGCGCGCGTTTATTGTTAATGCGCGTTAAAACCCTGCGCCGTGAATGCACGCGTTAATGTCACCGTTCGCGATACGAAACCGTTAAAAATCATTGAAGTCACTATCGTGCACCGTAACGGTAATGTTCTATATAAGACCATGAGCAACTCGAAGTAACTCGATGAGGGCCATTTTATAAAACCTTAAAAAATCTGACAGGCTAGAGGAAAGGAAGTAAAAAAAAAAAAAAAAAAAAAAATGGATCATTAAAATCGACAGTTAACATATTTATTTTATATAGGTAATTTAATTTTACGACTGAAAACCAATACAATAAAATAAGTACCTAATACCTATAACTATATTGGTTAATGCCGATATGGGTTATACTCGGACGTTTAATAATCAGGCTGCAATTCTAGATAGGAGTACAAAAAAGTAGGCGGGCCCAATTCTGTTATTTATCATAATAAGCTTAAAATGCGTGCGAAAACCGTGGCGTTTGGTCGTCGTCTTCGGGTGATACGCGTTTCGTACATGGTTTTACTGTTTAAACATTTACACATACACCACGGATCGGGATAAGTATTGACTTTTGTTTTGCAAACACCTCAAACATAAATTCGTACAGAATTTTCAATTGGCATTACTACTACGAAGAAACGGCACGATTATTCTTTATATTTTAACTTATTTCCGTACGCATCACACACTTTCTTTTCTCCTCTTAAAACTTTTAATGCTTACAGTTCATAAATATGTTTTTCTTTTTAATTGGACTGTGACACATTCATAATGCAAAGAAAAAAAAACGGTAAGGGGGAGAACATAATATGTATTTAGAACGTAAAAGTTTCTTGTTATAACTACACGATTCGCAAGAAATTCATAACGGAATACGATCTTTATTTATTATAAAAGTTAGAATCAAATTGAATTAACTAAATTGAAAACGTTTAAAGACTCGTTCATGTTTACTCGTACGTAACACACTGAATAAGTTTGGACTACGAAATTTCGATTCGGGTGAATTGATAGAACCGCAATAATTATATGATATATTTATTTTTATTATTGTTTACGAATTTTCATAAGGCCTTAGAAATTGTAAAAATAAATATATTTAAGTAAATATAATAGATTTTATTGTTGATATCACGTACTGAGAATTTCAATATTTGTTTATGAATAGTTTACATTTATTTCTATTTCAAAATCTTATTTGTATTACGTTGTTGCGCAGCACACTGGAAACGATCCATACATTTCAGATCATCAATTGTACTGGCTAAACATTTGCACAAAATAATACCAGATTGTATCGAAAATAAAATAAGTGTTACAAACCCAGAATAAAAAAAAAAAAAAAATGCGTACTCTATAATTTTATTTAATCTATCCATATGTTTTATATTGTAATCGTTACTTCCTTTGAAAAAAAAGGTTTACAATAAATTATAAATTATTTTATACTGATTAACGGAAACGGGATATAGCTAGAGATCACTTAATATACCCTTTTCCGCGTTGTCGTGTTTACAGTTGGTAAATTACTTGTTGTGGTTTCTAAAGTTCCCGTTTACCGTTAAAGTTAGGTAATAACTAGTAATTAAACCGATCAAAACTCCTTACAAACAATATAATATTCTTCAACTAATCAAATTAAATAAACACATCTAACTAACTATAACCTTATATATGTTTTGGTACCCCTAACGTCAAATGTCTCCGACAACCATTATTTCTTAATTAAATATTAACTCATTAAAGGTATTATCAATTGTGTTCGCGGTTTGTTGCGGTGATTTACGGAAATACAAAAACTATGTAAACGTAATCGCGCACGCACTTGTTGACAACGAATTACTGCAGTGTTCACTATGAATTTTTCAGGGCAAGGGTGGGTGCCAATGAAATAATCGAAACGATCGCGTGAACTGAATTGTTTTTAACGGATAAATATATTACGTCCGATACACATTTAATCATGGCCGAACACTATGCCAATAAATAGAAAAACATACCGGAGTTGCGCTTAGGTATTTATATCATTATGCTGTCCACCTGTGCATAGGACATTTTAAATCACGTACAATACAAACAAAACGAAAAATCTATAGAATAGAACAATTCCTATTTCTAATATTTTATAGTCATAAATATCGATACTTTTTATTGCGATTCGGTAATCACTCGGATATTGGTTGCAGAGACTTTATTATTTTTATAGTTTTCGAACGCCGAGATGAAATTTGAACGGACGGATTAAAAGAAAAAAATATCGATAATGATAATATTATATATAGATCATTGAGGGGAAGCACATTGCAAACGCAATGAGATTTACCGTTATCGCAGCAAACCACCATCATTACGCGTATTAATGCAATGATAATATTAAATTTCACCTGAACATGATCGAAGGTAACGGATTTCCGTTTGCAGTACATGTGATCTTGGCCACATTGTCAATCGGCACGGACACGTTGGTCACGTCCAGCACCTGGGGCTTGATGAGCACGATCACCTTCACCATGCGTTCGATGAGACCGGCTGCGTTGCTGGCCACGCACTTGAACTGACCGTTGTCCGTGCGGCTGATCTTGTTCAGGTTTAACACGCCCGTCACCTTGTTCACCGAGTACCTCTCGGTGCCCTCGCTCAGGTCCCGTTGCTCCGGCATCTGGATCCACGTGACCTTCGGTTCCGGTTTGCCGTTGGCCGCACACCGGACGCTGGCCATGTCACCCTCAACCACTTCCAGTTGCGACACTTGATCCGGTGCGAATGTGGGCGGGATGTGAACCTGTAACATTCGGTACACGTACAGGATTCGGTCGGCCGTTAGCGCACGCGCCCTACAATGAATCGCGCGTTCACCGGTACCGGTCGACGATAGTTCTGAACGCGATGATGGGACAACGGCGGAACGGTTTAGTCGAGATCGGTAGCACCTGAAGCCGCGTCCAAAGGTTCGTCGACTCGGCCACTGGGCGCGTTGAGTCCCGTGGCGGAAATATGCCGGGATGAACTTTGACATCGCGGAATAACCGGGTGTTGGACACACGTAACTGTTCTACGGTTGAACGGAAAACACCTACCTGAAACCCGGGCCCCACTTCCTCGCAATACTAAAACGACGCATGAGCATCACTGAAAAAGAAGTGGCTAGTAACCGAAAAAAACGGAAAAGAAGAGCAGCAAACCAACCGACGGTTAAAAAAATATTATATCGCGTCTCGGTACTTCTTACGGGATCAATCAAATCGAACCAGGATGAGCAGGATTTTCGCGGGATCGACATTTGCACGAGTTACGCCTAACTGCAATAAGCGTATGCGATTTTATCAAAAATTCAGGACGCGTTTTATTCACAAGTGAAATCCCGTTAAACGTCGCTGCATTGTTATACCGTGCACCGTGTAATAACTACGTACCTCAACTCTGATATCCCGGTCGAGAATACTTCCCGTGTCTAACACGATGGCCCGACATTTATAGATACCATCATCTTCAGCGGTGACGTTTTGAATCAACAGACCGTCAATGTCCTTGACGAATCCGTTTCCGTCCTGGATCCTAGCGTCTTGCTTGTACCAGTCGATCAACGGAGCGGGGTCAGCCTTGACCTTGCACCGGACTTTGTAACTGGAGCCGGCGATTGGATACTGTTCGGTGGGAGCGTCTACCCATGTAATGTCGTCTAAAAGAAAAACAGAAAAAAATATTGATAATAATAATCCCTCAACCCGAGTGCGCGTAATAATTAAGTAAAAAACGAAAAAAATAATGTCAGTATAACGTAACATAATGAACAGTGGCGTCGGTGTCGTAAAAAAGACTTACTGAAACTGTCTACGACCACGCTGCGAACCAGATATTCCGAATTGGAGTACATGGCGGTGCACGTGTACGTGCCGACATCCGCTTCTGTGAGACCAGTTATTACCAGGCCCAGATTGTTACTGGAAGTGACCATGGTGGTCACGTGCGCACCGGCAGTTCTGCAATAAGGGTTTAATGTATTTTTATAAAATAAATAAATAAGCAAGTTAGATAGCCGTGGCCCGATGACATTTTAATTGTAACAACGGTGGGTGTCCGTATTGATTTCACAACTTTGGGGAAAAATAGTAACACACACACACACACACACACACATATATATATATATATATATATATATTATTCTCAACACAAACACACCCACACGCACGCATGCATGCATGCACGTGCTCGCACGAATGTTGTTTATGGCATATGTATCTTTTCACCCTCATATATGCAATCGAATACGAATTGAAAATGTCTGCAGGGAGATTTACCCAGGATTCGCAAACAACACAACAATACAAAGTTATACGAACGGTATAAATTAAAACGTACTCGTTGAAGATGTCTGAGCGTACGAGGAAATATAACCCATTTCTACAATGACGCACGTATAATGTACGTACTCGCAGTGTACCTAATACATTATGTGATGAGAGTTAATTTATCGAATGCTGTTGGCGTGCACTTAAATGCATATATATATATGCCTGTGTGTGTACTTGTGTATATATTTATAATTAGTGTTATTTAGGCGTGTGGGCAACACACTAGTCGCATATTTAACTGCAGAATACGATGAGTTTTGCGAATAATATTATGCAATACTCACGGTGTTTGATCGATTGTCCTGTTCATCGGATCTAGCCATTTCAGATTCGTAATGAATTCTGGTTGGTCCACGTCTGGCTGACAGTTGAGTATCAACGATGAGCCAATCGGTTTGGTTTGTTTTGGCTGTGTCGGTCTAATGATCAGAGTAGGTTCTTTCGCTGCGATATCTGAAAAAATAAAATAAAAAACTATACATCTTAGTGATTCGTCGCATTAGAAATTAATTAATTATTACTGCACGCCACAAAAGGATAAAAGAGTTTTGTACAGATGATCATTGATTCTCTGTCTTACGCGTTGTGCTAAGAGTTGACCTTTTCTGAGTTAGTAATGGACTTTTTTTTCTTTTCAATACAATGCGACGTGATTTCGATTCATTCACCAATTCATTCGCCAAACCATTTATACTTGGACAAATTAATTTTATTTTTTATTTTAAACATCGTAATTCTTCAGGTTTTATTTAAAAAATGTAATTTATCACAGACAAAAGAAAATCTATCACGTAATTTTTTTTATTCATCCAAACCGAGGTAATGTAGCGTCAAACATAAAACAATTTTAAAAATTAAATTTCGTCCAGCTGCGAATAATAATATGATAATAATAATATAATAATATAATATTATATAATAATATAATAATCATATGAGTATTTGAGACCTCGTATTAATGAAAAATATTTCCTACAATGGTTATAATCAAGTACTTATAATAAGACAAAAATCATTGTTTCATAACGGAAATAGATTTATTTTAACGGAAAAATAGAATCAGGTGATTTTACCAAAAACCACACTTTGGCAGATATTGGAAATGAACATAAATTAAAATTCTGATCCGGGCAACAGCACTTACCCTTTATCAATCTTTGAATTGAATACATAAAAAAATGATCGTTTAACAAATGAGCACGAAATGGTTTCTTTGTGAAAAAAAATAAATCTGCAGAAGCCATATAAATATAATCTAAAAACTCCATTATTTACGTGCGTGTCATAGTAATTTGACTTTTCAACAGGATTTACTTTCAATGGGCCTTTTCAATGTCATACAATTTCATTTTTATTTTCTTCGCCTCTATTATATTTATCATACAACAGCTATATCGTAAGTATAAATAATAATTAAAGGCGTTATTTTTATCGGACATCACTGTGTTAGTTTAATGAAAATCATATATGAGATGGAAATAAATCAATGATCATATTTTACACGCAACAGTATTAAAATAATCAATGCGCTTTGACGAATTTAAACAATCGAACTGCAAGTACGTGTTGCTAACATTATGCGCACCTATACTAAATATTTTCAATCCGTCGAACAGCGAAGTGCCACGTACACGCACCCCCTTGGTATGATTATGTAAACAGTATGACAGTTTCGTATCGTGAAACCGACGCGTGGTTATAAGTAATACCGACAAACCATTACCGCCGCGGCGAACTCGAAGGGGCGGAGAATTCATTGGCAAGGTGATAATTTAAAAAAGAAAATAACCTACCACCCACCCGCGTCTGTACGTATACAATAATAATTGCTTCCCCACGGTCGGTTTACGGCGTTGAGCTCAGCTAACGTCGCGGGTACCGCCACGGTCGTCCACTCGTCGATGCACGTGTAAGGGACCGACACCCTTTGAATTAGTTACCTTGTTTACACAACAATTCCCTTTTTAAGGGTGGCGTGCACGACGTTAACACACGCACACGCGCAAAAACATGACTCCACCGCAATTTCCCACTGGACCGCAATGTACGCGCGGCAACACTGCAGAGACGCGGCGCAGGGGTTTTAAATTAATTTGCCCCGAGGTCGTTTGGTTTCTCGGCTAGATGTTTTATTGGCATCCGGATTTGCCGTGTTAGACACCCGACGGCGGCAGGGTCGGTCGGCGTTTGTACGCGCGCACCAAGGGAGAGTGCAATACACAATTAAGTGCCTACCTCCGACCAAACCCTCACCTCCGTTCCTTCTCGGCCGTTCCTTTCCACCACCATCGACCGACTCGGGCTACATGTCCGCCACCGTCACAGCCCTGCCGAAGCTCGGAAATAATAAAGGTATACTCCATAAAACAACAACTCCGCGTCGTCGTCTCACCTCAGGACACACAGTACCCGCTTATCGTCCAACGAAGACTAGCGGCGTTTATCTGTAGTCGTTCCGCAAAGTAATATAAACGCGTGTACACATTACAGAGGTCGAGGCCGTATATTGGCTCGCCGATATATCGAAAATCGTTGTGTGTATATACCTTGTGGACGCACATCCGGGGGGGTCAGATCACTTTGTCCGGGAAATATTTTACCACTTTCAGCGTGTGTAACATAGCGCGAACAGTGAGACAGATATAACCAAACCACCCAAACCAAACAAGTAATAACGTACCCAACGACCCAAGACAACACACACACATATATATATATATATATATATAAATGGGGTCGTTCGAATTTACAAACATGAAACAGTTGAACATTCGAAAATAGAGCCGATAAATTTCAATGACACACTGATATAGATGTATATTACTATACGTAGAATCACGCACAACATTATTCTTTTACGAATTGCATTTACTATTATTAATAATATAATAATCTCGTAATTTTAATATAATATTAAAATTTACATTATACACATTGTTGATTTTTGTTGGGATCCAAATAATTATATTTAGCAAAAAATTATTTTTGTTGATTCAGTCTGAATGTAAAGCTACACCAGCACTGAATTTAAATGTATATTATATAATGAATGATATAACTAGTTTGAACATTTAATTGCATACACATTTATTCGTTTTGAAGTTACTCGTATAAACGTGAGATATGGTCGTATTTCACATATTTTGGATTTTGGTCATTTTTCCACGTCCTACACATTCTTCCGCAGACACCATTAATTTATTTGACATAGGGTCGCAAACATACTGTGGTACTGCAATAGTGAGAGAATTCATTGGGCGAGAGATTTTAATGGTATATCGGATAAGAAAAAAGAAAATTCTGATACGACTATGAGTATATCCACTGAGCACTTTAATACATTTTTTATTTAAATACTCACATATTCTTCATTTTATTAAGAAAAAAACTTATATATTATCCGAAGGCTTTGAGTTTACGCCAGTTGAGAAATTACTGAATGCTATTCATATTATAATAACGTTGAGTTCCATAATTACATTTTGATAATTTCGTCTCGTGTATGGTTTGTTAGCAATATTGTACCGTTTAATTAAAAACTTTCAAAACGCAATAAGGAAACGAGGGTGAAAAGCATTTCTCGAGGACGTTCAAGTGACGAGAGTCGTCGTTAAGGGGAGAAGAACATTTTATACGCTTCGATGACCGAGACAAATAATATAAAGTTGGTCGGTTGAAAAAAAAAAAAAAGGAAGTTTCGAAAACAAATTCTAATTTAAGATAATAGTTTATCATCAGCTGACCGAATACTAAATTGGATTTAAGGTACCTATATAAATATAAACCGTTAAGTAAGAGGAGTTGCAGAAGACCGTTAATTCTCTATATATTATAAATTTAAAAAAAGCCACGTGTATTACGAAAACATCTGGAATCGTGGAACGTGCTATTTGGTGTTGTAGAAGGTATTTTTGACTTCTTTGTGGAAAATTAAACCACCTCGAATATAACCAGCAATTAAGTCGCAAGTAATCTTCTCTCTAGTTTCCCCTTTTAGATGAAAATAACAGACCATACTATTATAGTGATTTTAGCTGACAGCAATTAGTCTGGCATTTGTGTGAGCCTCAGCCATTGTGCACAGATAGATGATATTTCTATTGGCAAAATAGAAAGCATACCGATGGAAAAACTTTGAGACAAAAGGTTTTTAATTGATTTTTGGACAACAGTGAGCATTATGTATGGAGTAATAGGGTATTCCTCGGTATAGTGTATCCTCATGACCCGTATTGTTATATTCAATACACGCCACACAAATAGACGAAAATGTTCAGTTGTTGGTTTCGTTTTTGGATTGAAACGGTGACGTTTGAAGGACCTTGTCCAACGAGGAAAAAAATTAATGACTAAGCTTTTCGCGATCCTACTTTTCACATTCATCGAACACCGTAGAATGAAAAATAATAATATATATATTTATAAATAAAAATACGTATTATATTCTGACTTAAATGTTTCCAATTCCAATCCAATAATTTTAATGAAACTTCAACGAAATGCAATGATTACATTTAAATGAAAATAATTTTTTAAAAAGTTTAAAGATTTTAACACTTCAACCAGAAAAACATAGTATAAGTTCGAAACAGATATAATAAACAACTTTCATTAAAGAATTTCGATCTAAATATAGGTACTAAAAGAGCTGCAAAATAATAATTCATTATCATTAGTTTAAAACATGCGATGAACATCAGGAACGTGTACATCTTTTATTCAGCGAAACAAATAAGCTATCCCCGGATCCCACTCAATTAATCAAAAGTTATTTAATTTGTCGAGCTCGGAGGCTAAGTTGCAAACACCAAATGCACCAAGTAATAAAACTGAAGTATAACCTAGGGACGCATAAACATTTTTAGCTTAGTTGTTTCGCGTATGTCGAATTAAAATTATTCTAATTTTAATGTGGGGAAAAAATGTAAAAATGTATTCAAGACGGACTTAATCGTGTGAAAAAAACCAGAATATACATGTTCAGTCGGTGTAAAAAAGTTACAATATTACAATAGGAGAATACAATATTTAATGTTGCTTTAAGTGAAATATAATGTATTATTGACATACAATATTTAGTTTTCCAAGCCTAATAATAGGTAATAGATTCCTGGATACTTTTTAACACCCCTAAAATGTGTAGGAATTAATATAAATTTTAAAAAATCACGTATTAATGTCACAAAGATGTGAAGTAATCAATGTGTCGAATTGTGTATTTGTACAGTGAACATCGTTTTCGTCGTCTCAGCGTTTAGTTAACTATGTAAATTAAAATTTCAGGAACAGAGCAAGTTCGGGCTAGATCAAAATTAAAATTATAAATGCGTTATAAATCATAAATAGGGAACGTAATTTACAGAACACATTTCACGGTATGTGTGTTTTAAACATAGGGATTTTCTATTCGAAAACAGACTTTCATTTATAAATGCACACCAATCGCGTTAGTC